CAGCCAAGCCAGCACCCCAGAGGTGCAGCAGGCATCACGCTGGCCCCACAAACCAGCACCCACCAGCCACAGAAGCACCACGAGGCGCCAAAGCAACCACAAGAACTCTCCCCAGCATTGGTGCCACAGGCACCTCCACCAGCACGAGCTCAGCTGCCACCAGCAGCACCAGCAGGAACCACAGTGACACCAGCAGAAGCAGGTTGGGAGCCTCACTGGCCCGAAACACGTGGGCAGTAATCTGACCACAAACACCCACCCTGGCTCCGGCGGCAGCTGTGAGCACCACACTGACACAGGACTGTGGGCAGAGCCCACAGGCCTCAGCAGCACCCAGCACACCCCCCAGGCACAGCCCAGCACCCCCTGCTGCACCCCAACAGCCACACCAGCACCAGGGCAAAGGCAGCAGCCCCGGGCACACACGGGGTGTTTTCCTTCCCAGGCTGTTTCAGACGGAAGTGAAAGGTGTCTTACCGCCGAGCGATGTAGTAGAACACAGGATTGCCAACCTTGGATGTCCCAGCTTGGTAGAAAATGTTTAACGTTTTCAGTGCTTTGAACTCCTCTTTCTCATGCACTTGATGCCTGGGAAGCAACACATTGACATCAGCTTTCACAGTTGCCTTTCAAAAGGACAAAGCATCCCAAACCCTCCATACTTGGATCTTTGAACAGGAATGTGAAGTACACAGAATCCTCAGCCTATGTTAAATCACAAATGTTGCCACCATCTCTGGCTCTCAATTTAGCTTTTCAATTAACATCTACTCAGAAACCTAAAAGGTTTATGCAGACTCAGCTTTTTAAACTCCCCTTCTAAACAACAGCAGAGCTTTAACAACTGCATGCACTGCCTCACATGAGGTCTGGGAACCCACTACTGTGCCCCTGCCAGAGCAATCTCATTACCTCGTCATGAATTCTTCAAACTTGGAACTGGTGAGGTTTAAACTGGACCAATGTGTATCTGCCACAGGTTTGTGCTCGGGAGGACCCAGGTAGGCCAGAAGCGTTGCCATCTTGTCAAAAGGTCGTCGTCCCACAGCCTTGTGGTCCCTACAAACAGTAGATTGCTTATGAGAAAAGTCCTTCTTCACCCAGCAGTTCCCTCTTTTTTGCCCACCACCCTTCCTCATCTGGGACAGGCTGGATTGCCTTTTTTTAATTACAAATTAAAAAGTCTCAACCAAGACTGATATTCTTCTCAGTAATACTATCAGAAGCATCTGAAAGCACTTCCAAATATTAACAGCTTTGAGCTGAGAGAGGACAGATTTAGAATGGATATTAGGAATAAAGTCTTCCCTGTGAGGTGCTGAGGAGCTGGCACAGGTTGCCCAGTGCAGCTGTGGCTGCTCCATCCCTGGGAGTGTTCCAGGCCAGATTGGATGGGGCTTGGAGCAGCCTGGGCTGGTGGGAGGTGTCCCTGCCCATGGCAGGGGCGGATGAGATGATCTTTAAGGTCCCTTCCAAGCAAACCACTCCATGATTTCCCAGCAGCAGCTCCCTCCCCTGGAGCCTGACCTGTTGCTGGACAGGTACTGGCCGATCTTCTCCTGGTTGTTCCACAGCAGGCGGTGCAGTGCCAGGACGTTGCCGTCGCTGATGAAGGACAGGCTGTGGTTGACAGTGTCGCTGGCTGGACAGTCGGACGCGATGTCGAGGAAGAACCTGCAATGCAAACCCAGCAGTGACAGTCAGTGTGTGAGGGAGAGGTGCCAAGGAGAAGGCTGAGGGCACTCTCAGCTCAGCCCCCACACAGGACACAGCCTGTGAGGGCCCAGGGCCTACCTTCGTGCTGCGTCAAAATTGCTCTTTACAAAATCGTTAAAAGGCCTCATGTGCTCTTCCTTTGTAAACAGGACGTGGTTGGCAATGCTCTGAAGTATCTAGAGAGTAAAAAGATGACAGACACAGAAAGGTTTAATGTATTAACTGTTACAGTGATTAACAGATAAACTTTGTGCCAGTTTAACTTCACGGGCAGAAATACTTGTTCCACCTTGTTGTGAAACCTCAAGACAACAAAAGGCCAACAAACCACCTAATTCCAAACATGTCAAACAAGAGGCTAATTCTCAAAGCCTCTTTGTTTATGGACTTCTAAATACTAGAAAACCACTTCCCTTATTTATGGACTTTATTTGAGCTAAACCAGGAAAATAAATCACCTTTCAAACCACTGTTTACTAAATGTTTACTGTTTCATCCGGAAATCAGACAGACCAGAAAAAGCAACAACACATGTGTTGAAGAAAAATACAGTTCTCAAGGTGTACAGTGGAAGACATACACAGGCCACAGGATTTGTGTGCCATCCTTGAACCTGCTTCCAGTTTGACAGGAAATAGGACCAAATGAGATTAAGGACAGGAAAAATCCTTTCCTTAGCGGTGTCTGGTGCTGCTCCCCTTGCTGTGCTCGCAGCAACACTGGTCTCTTTGTTTGTCCTCAGATGAGGAGTTCAAGTGAAGGGCTGGAATTCCTCTCCTATCCACCACTGGCGCCGTGCGCTGCGGCACCGATGCCACGGGAGCCCACAGACCAGACCCAGACCTAGGGAACACAACACTCACCTTGGACATGAGCTTCAGGCCCCTCTCGATGCGCGGCGGGGGCTTCTTGTCCAGGATGCCAGCCTCGTAGGGAGACACGATGGCAGGGTTGATGAAGCGCAGGAACATGGCGCTGCCCACGGCGCCGATGCTGTTCTGGGGGAAGCGCTGGCTCACCACCTGTGGGGCCGAGGAGCACAGGGGAGTTTGCACCGAGGGGAGGGACAGACAGCAAAGCCCTGCACGGCAAGACAAGCCTAGACATTCGCTCCACGCCCGCCATGCTCGGCATGTTGAGCGGGACTCTCTTGCATCCCAGAGAACCAGGAACGAGAGGGAAGGGAGCGAGGGGCACGAGGCTCTCGGACAACAGCTGCTGCACAGGATTCCTTGCCAGGGCCACGTGGCTGTGCCAAGGGCACCTCGGGGCTCTGACCACCCTGCACTGGCAGGGAACAGCGAAGGGCCAACAGTCAGACCCAGGTGTGCAGACCTCAAACTCAGACAAAGCCTTTCCGTTGGTGAGTCTCTGACTCGTGGGTTTGGAACTGCACAACTGAGCATAAAAGCCTCTCCAGAAACAAGACCTGTGCTGTAAAGTCTGTGGAGTCATTTTAAATGAGAGGGAGACACCTGCAGAAATACTCTTCAGAGGCATCACAGCTCCACAGACAGCGTGGGCCAGAGCTGAGTGGCCACTGCCCAAAATCATGGAGCAGCAATTCCCTACAACTACAGACTGAAACTACAGTTCTGTGCTATCCAGGGAGAAAATAATTCTGGGAATGTTGTAAGAAATGAGAAATCTCTTTTCTTGTAGGAAATCAGCTATGCATTACCAGGATAATTACTCTTTAGATGTCCTTCATGTGACTTTGACAAGTCAAAGACAAAACTTCCAGACAGAGTTCTCGGACATCACTGTGGTCTGTAAAGCACAAATATCTCTATGTGCTTCTAATGAGCAACAGTGGCTAACCAGAGCCAGGCACACTCTGCCTTTTCATGAGCAGCCTTGGCATTATGGGGGAGAGCTCAAAATAAATAAAGACCAAACAATCCCACTTTAGCCCAGTCCCTCAAGCCGCACCCAGTGCAGCCTGGAATCACATGGCTCAACCAGCCAGAGCCACCAGCA